TGCTCGCGACAATGGGCTACATTACCCCTGAGACACTTGCAGCTTGCGCTAGTGGTTTGTTGGAAGCTTGAGCGACAGCACGAATAACTACCATTAAATTCTGTTGTTCCAGTATCAAATCACACACACACACTATGTCCAGTCTTTGAGTGTGTTTTTGGTATATCAGCATTTGTAAAGTTAGTAGGTGTGGCTCTACTTCTTTCTTACATGTGGATGCTAGTAGAACTTGATGTTAAATGTATCATGTTGTATCTTCCGTATGTATGGACCGAAGTGTCCTTCATGGTTGACTCCGGTGTTGGATACTTTATCATGGATCATAGTGCTGGACTATGAGTGACATCGCCCTCCCGTGGGCGTCTGGCGGGCCACTACGCATGTTTATGATGTCTGCCTTGGCTGCATTCATGACACAGGCCAGCGAGGCTGCCACAGAGTCCGTAACTAATTCCTTTGACTACTTGGGTTGCTTTGACAGTCGTAGTGTGGGAACGTGTGAATACTCTGCCTTTCAGATAGCTCCGGTAACTCTGGTACCCCCCGGTGTGCAGCCGGTCCATACGCGTAGGCTAATCCCTCCTCCACCATGCTGCATCATCTAGCCCAAGATCATGAGGTCACGATTTTTGTCTACCCTATGCCGTGTCCGCAATGCGTCCAGCACAATCGTCTCCCCGCCCCTGTTATGACTAATCCCTTGACTATTAAACGACGCCGTACCTCCTGTCACATGCCGATCCCTAGAGATTATCGCATGCGTATCGTCCCTTTACTTGGGCTTGTACTTTCCGCAGACTGCTTGGCTCGAACTCCCGTGCAAAAGACCGTGTGGACCAGATGGAGAAGCGGCTTTTCGCAGGACGTGGCCTTTTTACAATCAGAACTTCGGCTGGTCTTCTTCGCTAGCGGTACTGCCTGTGCGGCGCTGGCGGAGCGCGGACCGCCGCTCAAAGTCCGGATGTATCGGACTCTTCTCAATTGCGTGGAAGAACAATCGACTCCCTATCCGGCAACCCATGAGAGTGCGCGCGCCCTTCGTGCATTTGATGATGCCTGGGCAATCCCGCTGAAGGCAAGCCATGGGTCCTGTTGTGCACTTTCGCTGCGTCCGAAAGTGGCCGTGCCCTGCGTCGCCTTTGGGGAGCGTCATCACTTGCAGGTCTATGGGCCAAGCAGGCAGACTTGCCAGGTTCGAAGCCACCGGTTCTATTGAAAAATATAGCATTTCGTGCGTCCGCTATCTCTCGAAAACGCATTTTGTATTGCGCCTGCCACGAAATCTGCACATGGAGGTTCACAAAGTCCTGTGGCTGCCACGAAATCAGCACATGGAGGTTCACAAAGTGCTGCGCCTGCCACGAAATCTGCGCATGGAGGTTCACAAAAGGCTGCGCCTGCCATGAAATCTGCACCTCGAGGTTCACAAAGTGCTGTGCCTGCCACGACATCTGCTCATGGAGGTTCACAAAGTGCTGTGCCTGCCACGAAATCTGCGCATGGAGATTCACGCAAAGCGCTATGCCTGCCACGAAATCTGCACATAGAGGTTCACAAAGTGCTGCGCCGGCCACGAAATCTGCGCATGGAGCTTCACAAAGTGCCTGGCACGAAATCTGAACTTCAACTTCGAAGCATGTGAGAACTCTAACCACAATGCAGGGACGATTCGAACATGACCCGAGCATGACCCGACCATGACCCGAGAATGACCCGAGACCGTCTCGCAACCCTCGTTCCGCAGAGCTAGACTTGCCAGGTTCGAAGCCACCGGTTCCAGTGAAAAATACAGCATTTCTTGCATCTGCTATCTCTCGAAAACGCATTTTGCATTGCGCCTGCCACGAAATCTGCGCATGGAGGTTCACAAAGTCCTGTGGCTGCCACGAAATCAGCGCATGGAGCTTCACAAAGTGCTGCACCTGCCACGAAATCTGCTGCGCATGGAGCTTCACAAAGTGCTGCACCTGCCACGAAATCTGCACCTCGAGGTTCACAAAGTGCTGTGCCTGCCACGAAATCTGCACATTGAGGTTCACAAAGTGCTGCGCCTGCCACGACATCTGCACATGGAGCTAGAGCTATTGAAACTAGAGCCAACTGAAGCTAGGGCTATTGAAAGCTAACTGGAGCTAAAGCTATTGATACTAGAGCTAACTGGAGCTAGAGCAAACTGGATGATGAGTAGTGCATGATGAGTGGTGTATGATGAGTGGTGTATGATGAGTGGGGTATGATGAGTGGTGTATGATGAGTGGTGTATGATGAGTGGTGTATGAT